GAACTGGAGTTATGGATAGTTGTTAGCTGCCATGTGGGTGCTGGGATTCAAACCCAGGTCTTCTTCAAGAACAGCTAGTGTTCTTAACCACTGAGCCATCTCTCCAGCCCCATGAACTATATTTTAAAAAGGCATTCTGTATTAGTTTTTAAAAAATTTTTAAACAGGGTCACATGTGTTCCATTCAGGACTCAAACATGATAGTAGCCAAGGATGATCTTGAACTCTTGACCCTTCTGTCTGTATCTCTCAAGTGCTGGGATGAAAGGCGTGCATTACCATGCCACCAGTCCAGGGCTTTGTATAAGCAAGCACTCTGCCAACTGAACTAACTGCCTCCCATGCCTAAGGCCCCAGGTTCAATCTCCAGTACCACAAAACAAACAACAAAGATAGAATGTCAGTCAGCCATCCCTCCCTCCTTCCCCTTCTCTCTCTCTTCTCTTTTGAGACAGAGTCTCCCTCTTAGCCCCAGCTGGTCTGAAACTTGGCATGTAGACCAGGCTGGCTTAGATCTCATAGAGATCTGCCTGCTTTTGCTTCCAGAGCACTGGAATTAAAGGTGTACTACCATACCCTGCTCTAAAGATGGAATTTTTTGGGTTTTAATTAAATTAGTCCAAAAGAAGTTAAGTTTCAGGTAGAGACAAAATATATATAGACTGTTTTATCTGTCATAATTTTTCTTACCTTTTGGCTTTTAATTATGAATCATGAACTTAAATATCTCAATTATTTTTGTTTTGTTTTTGTTTTTTAGACAGGGTCTTGCTGTGTAGCCCTGACTGGCCTGGAACTCACTATGTAGACGAGGCTGATTTAAAACTCACAGAGATCTGCCTGCCTCTGCCTCCTGAATGCTGGGATCAAAGGTGTGCACCACCATGCCCAGCTTATTTTAATTTTTTGAAATTTCATACATGTAAGCAGTGTACCTTGGTCCTATCGGTCTCTACTCTCTTCCTCCAGCTCCCCCTCCCCCAGGGTAACTCCCATTTCACTCCCAACTTCATATCTACGCTTTAATGATTTTGTTTAATCCTATCAGTCACTGATTCCCCTTTCCCTCATTATCTTTGCTTTATTTTTCTGTTAATGGAGGTCATCCTCCTAGGGGGGGTTGTTCTTTTGATTTGAATGGATGTAAGTGATTGATATTTGAAAAGTGGTATAGACTTACACGTCACATAGTATCTCATATTTTACAGGGTATTGGCATCTCTCAACCTTCCAGCAGCAATTGAAGATGTGTCTGGAGACACTGTACCTCAATCTATAGTGACCAAATCTGCATCTGTGGTTGAACAGGGAGGCATACAGACTGTAGACCAGCTGATAAAAGAGCTGCCTGAACTACTTCAAAGAAATAGAGAAATCTTAGATGAGGTAAGTTTTAAAAGATTGATTTTTCAAGTAAAAACTCCTTTAAGTATCCAGTAGGAATTAGGACTAGTGGTTTCATGGGGTAATATACATGAATTTACTGTGCTTCAGAACTTTCCCTTTAGCCTCAGTAAGAATTCTGTTGAGAATGAGTTCATTCTTAGGAGAAAAATAGGAGTACTAGGATTGCACGTGAATGCTGGGCTGACAAGTGTGCTCTATCACACTCAGTTTATACAGTGCTGGGGACCGAAGCAGGGCTTTGTGCATGCTAGGTAAGCACTCTGCCAGTTGAGCTCCATCACCGGCCCTAGACATACATTTCTTGAAATCAGACTCAGGAAGTTAGGTCATCAGATGTTCTGTAAGGTGGCTGCATTCATTTGCCACAGATGTGGTGTTTTATAAATGAATCACATGTTTAAAGTTTCTCTGTCCTTCCCCCTCCTGCTCCCCTTCCCCTACTCCTCCCTCCCCTGCTTTCCTGACACTTAGCTGTGTAGTTCTCCTTTTGTGGTGCTATCACCAGCTCCCTAATTCATGTACTGCTTTGCTTAGCTGCAGATACATTCAGACTGGTTGTATGGGCTCTGGCTAGGTTCTTTTATCAAAGCTCTAATCCATAATATTTTGATTTTTTTCAGATAGCTTTTGTGGATTTTGTACTTACCTTATTTCTTTGGGACAGGCAGAGATCTTAAGTGCTCATGGTAGTGTGAATCTTGTGGGTGAGAATATTCCCAGAACTATTTAAAAGATGAATTAAGCTGAAATCATGACATGACTAGCTTCTGGAATGCATAGGGTATGCTTCATAGCTGAAATATAGAATCTTGTGTTTTAACCCAGACATATTCAATCAAAACCTGCTTTTTGACTTGCTTTGTATGTCTGTTAACCTTTGAAAACTTTCTTCTTTAGGTCACAAGATTTAAAAGAATATATCTTACAGCCCTTTAAAACTCTGTAAATTTGTGGATTAGAGAAGCTGTGGTATGGTGCTGTAATGGATTTTTAATTTATTTTAGAATCTCCCTGTAGCCCCAGCTGTGTAGGCCAGGCTGGCTTTAATCTCACAGAGATCTGCCTGCCTCTGCCTCCTGAGCGTTGGGATCAAAGGTGTGCCTTACCACGCCAAGCCTGGCGCTGCAACTGAAAGGGCATTAGAAAAGGGACATCTTTTTTCTTGCTTCCAGCATTTCTGTAGTAAGCACTATGATCATGCCAGTGTTTGATATGTTCTGAGGAACAGCATCATAGTGTGTATGTATGTAAATTTGAAATGCCTATGTCAGTAGGCATTGTAATCTTAGGGACCAGCAGTGTAGGCACTGACCAGAACATGATTATGTAGTGAATGTGTGATTTTGTGTGTTTTTCATGAATGGCCTTCATTGTATTGAGGATGAGCCTTTCTTTTCTTAACTTATCTCCCTTAGTCCCTCCTCCCTTCTTGTGTATTGCTTGCTGCTCCTTGCAAAAAGAAGCCTCTCTGACCAAGTTTGAGAGAGCACTAATCTATAGGTGTGAGCATAAATATTTAGGTGACAGTTTGACAACATGTCCATTCAGCAGAACAGCAGTGGTACTTTCCCTCCTAGGGCCTATGACCTCCCCAACATGACTTTTTGATCAGGTTCACAGTATTAGGCATACATTTCTTCCTATGGAACAGGCCTCAGATCCAGACAGTAAGTGGTTGGTTATCCTCGTAACAGTTGTGCCACTATTGCACCAGTGGATACACATAGCTTACGAAGGAGTGGATTTCTATAAGACTTTTTTTTTTGGCTTTTTTATACATCCTTAGTTTTGGAAGCCCACTCTTTCCCTGCTAAACCTTTAACCCCTGGTTTTCTTCCCTTCTGCATGGATATGTAAGTAGCTCTATAGTAGGGTATGAGGTCTTTGAATATATGCCCAGGATCCAGTATAGCTGGATGATATGAAAGTTCTTTTAGTTGAGGAACCTCCATACTGATTTCCATAGTAGCTGCATCAGTCTATACTCTCACCAAGTCTTCCCCTTTCCCCATATCCTCAGTACCATTTAATGTCATTTGTTTTCTTTCTATGTTAGCCATTTTGACTGGAGTGATATGGAATCTCAAAGTAGTTTTAATTCTATTTCCCTAATGCTAATGATGTGGAACATGTTTTAAAAATGTTTACCAGCTATTTCTAGTTCTTCTTTTAAGAATTCTCTGTTGAGTTCCAGTCTCTGTTGATTTTGTTTTATTGACGTTCAGTTTCTCGATTCATTTTATATTCTAGATACTAATCCTCTGTTGGATGTAAAACTAGCTGGCAAAGACTTTCTCTCATTCTCTAGGCTTTCTCTTCAGTCGATTAACGGTTTCTTTTGCAGTACAGAAGCTTTTTAATTTCATGAGGTCCCACTTGTGATTATTAGTCCCATTTCCTCAGTGATCAGAGTTCTATGGAGAAAGTCCTTATTTATGACAAGGCCTTATCTTTAGTGTACTCCTGACTTCTTCCTCTAGTGTTTTCTGAGTTTTAGGAGTTAGGTTGAGATCTTTGATCCATTTGGAGTAGATTTTTGTGCAAGGTGAGAAATGGGGATCTAGTTTCATTCTTCTACACATAGCTATCCAATTTTCATAGCATTTTTTGAATCTTGTCTCCAATGTATATTTTTGGCATTTTTGTCAAAATCAGTTGTCTATAGCTTTGTGGCCTTTTGTTTGGGTCTGTTTTTCTATTCCATTGATCCATGTGTCTGTATTGTGCCAGTATCTTGCTATTTTTATTATTATGCTCTGTAGTATAACTTGGAATCAGGTATGGCAATACCTCCCACAGTATTCTGGAATACTGAGAAGGAAATCAGGGCTACAATTCCATTCACACCCTAGCCTCAAAAAAGAAAAAGAAAGGTTATATAAAAGAGGTATAAAGGAAAGCTATGTGTGATAATGTTAGGGAAGGCTAATGATTTATTTATTTTTACTATTTTAATTTTATGTGTATGAGTGTATTGTCTGCTTGTGCGTAAGTGCACCTGTGACGTGCAGTGCCCATGGAGTTCAGAAAAGGACACTGGCTTCCCTAGAACTGGAGTTATGGACAGTTGTTAGCTGCTGTGTAGGTAATGGGAATTGAACCTGGGGCCTCTGCAAGAATAGTCAGAACTCTTAACTGCTGAGCATCTCTCCAGCCCCAGGAAGGCTGGCTACTGATTATGTGTGTTAATGTTGTATAGTGTTACATTGCTGAAGGTGGTTTTCAGTTCTAAGTGTTTCTGGTGGAGTCTGTAGGGTTTCTTAGGGTCAGAATCACATCATCTGCAGATAGAGGTGCTTTGAGTTCTTCCTTTTGTTTCCCTTTTATTTGCTTCTCTTATCTTCTTGCTCTAGTTAAGGCTCAGAATATTAAGCGTGGAGAAAGTGGACATCCTTGATTTTTGTTATTCTTGTATTTTTAGTGGACATGCTTTGCATATCCCCCATATAATAAAATTTGGTATTGTTAGTCATGTATAGCCTTTGTAGCTTGAGCTATGTTCTTTCTGTTCCCAGTTTCTTCATGATTTGTAACATAAAGTGATGTTGGATTTTCTCAGAAACCTTTTCTGTGCTTTTCAAGATGACCATGTGGTTTCTGTCCATGAATTGATTAATTAGAATTTCTATTTGGTTGTTAGCCTTAGCCTTTGATGGCTGCGCTATCCCTCCAGCCCTATTAATTAGAATTTCTAACATTTATTGATTTATGTATGTGGAACCATCTCTGCATCTCTAGAATAAACCCAACTTGATCACAGTGAATGATATTTTTGATACATGCTTTTTCCTGCACAGATCTCCCCTGGCTTCATAAGTTCATTTGCAAAACTTGTTTCTCACAGGATAAGAGCTTACTGGGTCTTATCTGGATTGTTTTCTTTCATTGAGTGTCAGTGGTGAGGTTTCCTGTCCCCCATCTTACCTGGAAGTCCCAGCTGAATAATGGTTTCATCAGGAGTTCATCTGAGGCTTGTGTTATAGCTACTATGAGTTCTAGTCCCAAGTCAGAGTTTTTCTTTTTTTAATGAGTATGAGTCTTATGGTTGTATGTATATAAGTACATCCATGCTTGCAGTGCCTGCAGAGGCCAGAAGAGGGTGTTGGATCCCCTGGAACTGGAGTTATTAATGATTGGGTGCTGGGAACTGAATCAGTGCTCTTAACCACTGAGCCATCTTTCCACCCCCCCTACCCCAAGTCAGGTTTTTGATTAGGAATTCAGGTGGTACATATAGTCCATATAGGCAAGTTTCCCCTGGTAGGACAATTCTACTTTTTAAAAATGAACCCACTGGGCCAGGGTGGTAGCGAATGCCTTTAATCGCAGCACTTGGTAGGCAGAAGCTGGTAGATCTCTGTGAGTTCAAGGCCAGCCTGGTCTACACAGTGAATTCCAGGCCAGCTGGAGCTACAGGGAAGCCCTGTCTCAAAAAGACCAAAAAAGATTTCACTGATGTAAAAGATTTCAGTATGTAAAAGCATTCAGTCTGACAGAAGAGAGTACCTTGATACCTTGATGTGGCCTCTTGTGTCATTGCCTTGTGTTAAATTCATTCTCAGCAAGTACTCATTTGGGTAGCTGGCTAAGTTTAGGTGGTTGACTGGTTCTGGCTTTTACCTTTTTTTCGTATGGGTCACTAGCTAAGGATCATTTTTTACCATTTTTAATGGATTATCAAAACAGAATAATATATGACAGAGATTGTATGTGGCCTATACGGCTTAAAATACTAATTTTCTGGTATGTGAGAGGAAAGTTTGCTTTTCTCACCTCTAAGCGATTGGGTTGTCAGGCACTACTGACTTTGTACCCAGTGGTAAATTAACACTTTCTTTTCATCACTACATGAAGAAAAGTATTATTTATTTTTATTTTCAACTTTTATTTTACTTAGTGTTGTGTGTGTGTGTGTGTGTGTGTGTGTGTGTGTGTGTGTGTGTACATGTACGTGCCCACCCATATCACTGTGCGTGTGTGGAAATCAGAGGGCGATTTTAGGCGTCAGTTCTTTCTTTCCAACATGGATTCTGGAGGTTGAACTTAGGTTGTCAAACTTGCTCAAGAAGTGCTTTTTACCACTGTGCCATCTTGTTGGCCCCAGAGGCATTTTTTTTAATGAGACACAGTTTTCAGTTTTTTGTATTAGGACAGAAGTCTGTCTTTTATCATATAATAGGCTTGTATTGTTCAATTTTTTCCTTTGTTTTATGGCTTCTGAGGTTGAAGGTTTTTTCATTATAGTTTCTGTTTATTTTAAAACATTTTAACAAGTAGTTTTGGTATGTGGATTAAGTAAAGTTTTCATTTTTTTCTTTCTTGCAAGACAGGGTCATATAGCCCAGGTTGGCCTCAAACTGACTGCAGCTGAAGCTGGCTTTGAATTTCTGATCTCCTGCCTCTGCCTTCTGAGTGCTGCATTACGGGCTTGCATCATTACATCTGGGTTTTACATGGTCCTGGAGATTGAACCTGTGGTGTTTTTCTAGGCAAGCACTTTATCTGTTGAGCTTTATCTCCAGCCATTTTTTTTTTCTTTTACCTGAAAAAGGTAATAATTAATCTTAACCTTAAATTTTATGGCTGTTTTGGTGATGCTGGGAATCAAGTACTTTGCACTTCTGCTATTGTGCTATGTCCCTAGCTTAACTGTTGACATGACTTAGATTTCTGCAACAAGAAAAGTACCAATTTATATATTAAGCTAAGTATGGTGGCTCACACCTGTATTATCAGTACTCTGAAGGCAGGAGCATCACAAATTGAGGCCAATCTGGGCTAAATATTGAGACAGTTTCACACAAAATAGAAGAAAATAATACCAGTTTACATATTACTCAGTCAGTAGTATTAAAGTATTTCCATCTCAGTAACTATTATCATTTAAGAACAGGAAGGCATGGTGGCTCACACCTGTAATCCCAATGCTTAGGAAATGGAGGCAGAAGGGTGGCTGCAAGTTTGAGGTCACTCTGATCTACATAGCAACTTCTAGGCCAGCCAGGGCTATGCAGCAAAATCCTGTCTCTAAACAACAACAACAAATGACAAGAAAATAAAAAACAAGCTTTCAGACTTCCTAAAGAACCAAAAAAAAGTTAGAGTTTTTATGCCAGAAATGGTATCTCAACTTTTTGTTTCCTTTTTAAAGTCACTAAGATTGTTGGATGAAGAAGAAGCAACTGATAATGATTTAAGAGCAAAATTCAAGGAACGCTGGCAAAGGACTTCTTCCAATGACCTCTACAAGCCTTTAAGAGCAGGTAACAATGTGAATAAATGATTTGTACTCCAGTAAATTCCCACTTTGGATCTTTATCTATCATCTATCTATCTATCTGTCTGTCTATCTATCTATCTATCTATCTATCTATCTATCTATCTATCTATCTGTCTGTCTGGTGCACTTACCTGGCTTCTTTCTAATGGAATGTGTTAGATGGAGGACTACAATTTCACAAGCAAGATATCTACCCAGATGCAGTTCACCGACATTATTCAAAGTTTCATTATCTATCTATCTATCTATCTTATCTATCTATCATCTATCTATCTACCTACCTATTATCTGTCTGTCTATCTATCTATCTATCTATCTATCTATCTATCTATCTATCATCTATCTATCTATCTACATATATATAAAATATATAATATATATACACATTGTTTTTTTAATTTTAAAAATATTTCTATTTTATGTGTATGAGTGTTTTGCTTGCATGTATATAAATGCACCCATGTTGTACAGTGCCTATGGAGGTCAGAAGAGGACATTAGATCCCTTGGAAATAGAGTTACAGACTGTTGTTAGCTGCCATGTGCATGCTGGGAACCAAACCTGGGTCCTCTGCAAAAGCAACCAGTGTCCTTAACCCCTGTGCCATCTCTTTAAGCCCCTCATCTGTTTTTCTTTTACATGAGATCATCCTTTGAGAGAAGAGTACTTTTTAAGTAAGTTCTGATATTCTTGGGAATGAATGATTTCTTTCTATATTAATGAGTCATAGAAAAAAAATTAGGCTGTCAGTTTTCTTTTGTTTGATAGACATTAACCAAATTATGTATGCTAAGTTTAATATAGAGCTATGCCCCTGATTTTTTAAAAAATATTTTTATTTATTATTTTTATTTTATGTGTATGAGTGTATTGCTTGCATGTACGTGAGTGCATCTGTGTCGTGCAGTGCCACGGCAGTCAGAAGAGGGCTTTGGATTTCCCTGGAACTGGAGTTAAGGACAGTTCATAGCTGCCATGTGGGTGCTGGGAACCAAACCCAGGTCCTCTACAAGAGCAGTCAGTGCTCTTAACTGGTGAGCCATCTCTCTAGCCCCTGCCCCTGATTTTTCCAAAAACAGAAATTCAAAGATTGATAGGGGTTGAGGCTTATTGTGTAGAAGTGGAAGGTGAATGAGGCTGAGGACCAGAACTTAATAGCACAAACCAGTCGCAAGCCTGCTGAGCTCTGGAAACTTTTCCTCTAGAGGGAGCCAACTTCAGAGTGGTTTTAGATAAAGCTGTACAAGCTGATGGACAAGTGAAAGAACGATACCAGGCCCATCGAGACACTATCGCATTGCTGTGTAAACCGGAGCCTGAACTGAATGCCGCCATCCCCTCTGCTAACCCAGCAAAGACCATGCAGGGCAGCGAGGTGAGTGTGGAATTTGATGTGGGTAGCCATTTGTTTTTGAAGCTCTCTTCAAGCTACTATGTACAATGACCTGCACCATTGTCTTATTGTCATCTTTTTAAAAGTGCAAAAGTAGGCTTGAGGTGTAGTTCTATGGTAGAGCACTTGCTTAGCATGAACAAGGTTTGAGTTTGATCCCAAGCGCCACATATATATGTACACTCACACTTGTAGACAAACATATGTAGCAGTAAACTGGAGTTGTTATATTTAAGCTAGTGTGTGTGTGTGTGTGTGTGTGTGTGTGTGTGTGTGTGTACACATCCTGTGTGTCCTACTTTGCTTTCTGTTGCTGTGATAAACACCAGGACCAAAAGCAATGTGGGGAGGAAAGGGTTTATTTGATCTTACACTTCATAGTCTGCCATTGAGTAAAGCCAAGGCAGGAATCTGGAGGCAGAGACTGAAGCAGAGACCACGGAGGAACGCTGTGACTGGCTTGCTTGTTTCCTCTGGCTTGTTCAGCTACTTTTTCTTTTTTTTTTTGACAGGGTCTCCCTAGTCCCAGCCCGCCTGGAACTCACTCTAGACCAGGCTGGCCTCACTCTCACAGAGATCCGCCTGCCTCTGCCTCCCTAGTGCTGGGATTAAAGGCATGTGCCACCACTCCTGTCTCAGCTACCTTTCGTATATAACCCAGATCCACCTGCCTAGGGATGACACTGTCCACAATGGATGAGACCATCTATATCAATTAGCAATCCATACAGTGCCCCACAGACATGTCTGCAGGCTAATCTGATGGAGGAGATACAGCAGTTGAAGTTCCTTCTTTCAAATGACCCTAGTTTGTGTCAAGTTGACAAAAACTAACTAGTATACCATGTTTTTTTTTTTTGTTTTTTGGGTTTTTGATCATTTTGAGACAGGGTTTCCCTGTAGTCCCAGCTGGTCTGGGGCTCGCCTTGAACTCACAGAGATCTGCCTGCCTCTGCCTCTCGAGGCATGTGCCACCAATGCCCAGCATCAGCATACCATGTTATAAGGAATTATTAATTAATATCCTGCCATAATTTTTATTTATTGAATATTTTTTATGAGCTAGGTACTAGATTCTAGATACTTCATATGGTAATAGGATTTTAATTCAGTTTCTATAAAAGAGAGAGGCTTGGATAGGATAGCAACTTTGCCTGAAATGAAAAAGCCTAGATACTCTTCTAATCACAGTTTGTTTCTTGTGATGTTTGTCACACTGCCTTTGATCATATTCCAATTGGGACTATGTTTTAGGGGAAGATTGACAAGGTATACATGTTAATAAGTGGATAGCATCATCATGATATTTTAATGATGTCAGTAAAGAGAAAATCAGCAGTAGAGCATCTGATTGGGGAAGTCCTAAAGAGAAGAGAAAGTGCTATTATGATTTTGTGGTGACCAGTCTGAGGTCAGGAGATGTTCCTCAGTACACAGGAAAACAACCCTAGGGCAAGAAATACTGCATTCAAGAAGACAGGTTTCCTGGCGTAGTAGATTCTGAAAGTTGTTGGCACTTTTTCTTACTTGCCTTTGTATAGAAGAATTTTATGTATTTTCCCAAGGCTTTCTGTGTAAGGCACTATGCTAAGTACTTTGAAAAACTAGCAAATGAATCAGATAGCCTTTATTATCTCAACCTATGGATCAAGGTAGAAAGCTAGTCAGATGCAAAGGTAAAGGTTAGACATTTACTGATGCAATAAGGAAAGCATAGGAAGTGTGCTGTAGTTTTGGGTGAACTACTGTTTCAGCAGTTTGGAGCTTCTGTTTGGGGAGCTGGCACATTATATAAGTACAGAGTGAATAGGCAGAGAAAGTGAACACATGTAAAATCTACTCAGGGCTGAGTTAGATCAAGTGTCCGGAGGCAAGGGTGGAGGATTGTGTAAAGCAGCACAGGTGCTGGGCAGCATTCCAACTGCAGAGAAGGCAGCAGAGCTGAATGTGTAAGGGGCTGAAATCTAAGGGGAATGATGATAGGCAAGGAATATTGGTTAGAGGCTTGGGTGACATGGAGGAGAAAAGGGACATGATTAGAGGATTTTAATTTGTGAAGAACAAAGACCTAAAAAAGACTGGCACCCCTGGGAACAGCAGTAAAATCTGAACTCGTTCTACAGAACTGAGGATTAAACCCAGGGCTGGTGCATATTATGAAAGCACTCTACCTCTACCACTGAGCTGTGTCCCAAGCCCCCTTCCCCTGCTTTTTTTGAGGCAAGGTCTTGCTAAGTTGCCCAATCAGGCCTTGAACTTGTGACCCTCTTGTCTCAGCTTCCTGACAGTGCTGGGGATTGAATCTAGGGCCTTGTGTATGCCAGGCAAGCATTCTACCCCTGAGCTACTTCCCCTGCCCTTTTGTATCTTATTGATGATTAAATTTATATGGTTGTCCTTTGAGCCTCTTAATGGAAAAGAAAAAATGGTTTGTGCTAAGCAAAATCAGAATTAGTAAGCCCTTATTTGTTGGTATTTTGCTAATCTATATTAATAGTATTACAGGGACAATAAAAACTTTTATAATCAACATGAAACTATTTTATTGAAGCTAGATTTTCCTGATAGTGATAACCAAAAAATGTTCATTGCTTTACATGTTTATGTATATGAACCTCTGTCAATTAAAGGGCAAGCATTGTGTAATGATCAAGGCTATTTTACTGTTGTCATAGTGGTTGATGACAGTTTAGCCAGAATGTTTATGGAAAACATAGCCATTTGAATTGATTATTGAATTAATAATGTTTTGTAACATACATGTTTTATTCAGAAGTCAGAATTTGATGATAGAGCTATTTTTCTATTACTGTGAAGAAGTCTATTTATTTCTCTTCAGTCAGTTTGGACATCTAGTGTTAACTATTGATAGTCTGAAAGTTTGCAGACTATTGGGAGTTAGTATTTAAAGATCCTTACACTAATGCTTTGGACCACCACTTGGGATTGTGCAGTGGGGTCTGAAATCTTGTTCTGTGGTTGGCCTTCCTGGCCTTCCTAAGCCTTTGGCCCTCTAGGTTAGGTGTGTCAGGTTCCCACTTCTCTGTTGCTGTTGAGCTATTCCCGTGCTGTCTTTTCTGAAACCGACAGTCTGAAAGGCAAAGTTATTTTTTAAATATTTTATTTATTTTTATTTTATGTGTATGAGTGTATTGCCTGCACGTATGTGAGTGCACCTGTGTCGTGCAATGCCGCAGAGGTCAGAAGAGGGCTTCAGATTCCCCTGGAACTGGAGTTAAGGACGGTTCGTAGCCGCTATGTGGGTGCTGGGAATTGAACCTGGGACTTTTGCAAGAGTAGCCAGTGCTCTTAACCACTGAGTCATCTCTCCAGCCCCTTATCTCCCTAATTGTATTTGCCGCTGTTAAATGCTATAAAGAGTTTTATAATGTAAAATCCAATTGATATATTAGCTTATGGACCAAATCCAGGCCACCTCTTGTTTTTGTATGGCATTGAGCTAAGAATACCTTTTACATTTTTAAATATTTTGTTTTTTTTTTAATTTTATGTGTATGAGTGTATTGCCTGCATGTATGTAAGTGCACCTGTGTCATGCAAAGCCTGTGGAGAACAGAAGAGGGCATTGGATCTCCTGGAACTGGAATTACAGACAGTTGTTAGCCACCATGTGGGTGCTAGGATTAGAATCTGGGTCTTCTGCAAGAACAGCCAGTGCTCTTAACCTTTGAGCCATCTCTACAGCTCTGCTCTTTCATTTTTAAATGATTAACAAAAGTGAGACTAATGATTCATGACACATGGACATTATATGAAATTTAATGTCAGTGTTCATGAATAATCTTGTTACTTAGCCATCTCTTCAACTTACCTGCTTTCTGGGCCTGCTTTCATACTACTGAGGGATATTTTTAATATTTGCAGCAGAGACTGTGACTTCCTAAGCCTCAAATATGTTTTGTTTACCAAAAAATGTTGTTAGCTTCTCATCGGAAGGGAGCACAGGCAGCTTGGTGGTCTTGTTCCTGCAGCTGCTTGCCCTCCTGTCTGTCGTCTCCACCTCTTGGTTCTCTGCTGCAGCTAGACTGACCTTTTTTCTTCCTTCGAACCTGTCAAATTCCTTCCTACTGCAGGACTTTTGCATTTGTGTTTTCTTTGGGACTTTGCACCCAATCACATCTTCCTTAGTTTCAGACATCACTTCTCATTATCCTCCTGTATTACTCCATCATCATGTTCTTATTCAGTCCTCCTCCCCAGTCCTTCAGATGAAGAGAAGGCTCTTAAAGTTATATTCGTAGAGCCTAGAGCAGTCTTGAACACATAATGATTTAGAAAGCTTTTCTTATTTGGTGGAATGAGAAACCCTGGCAGCCAGATTTAATAAAGTAATGCAATTAGTTGCATTTAAAAGCTAATTACATGTAGGTATGGTGTTAATTGTGAACATGTATCTATCACCTCAGCTCTGAGGTAGGAAGATAGACAGTTCAAGGTCATTCTGGACTACATAGGGAGACTGTGTTACAAAATAATAAACCTATTGCAGCTTCTTCTATGCCTTTTGCTTTGGTAACTTGGTAAGCCTCAAATTTGAGTTTATAAGAGATTTCAGGTAGGGGTTTTCTTGTTATCCTGGCTATTCATTTGTGCAAGCAGTTTATTTTCTACATCATCCACTCCATTAAAATTAGGCCAGTATCATGCAATCTGAGATGTAAACTAGTATATGTCACCATTAACCATCCTCACAAGAAGATACTCTTGTAATGCAAGGACCTTTGTCTTTGTGTGGCATTTGCACAAATGTAAATCAGTTGTTCGAAATGACATTTTAAAAGACATAGAGCCCAAGGCATTCTGAAATAACAGAAGATTTGCTAAGTAACAGTTTGGCCCTTATTACTGTGGTTAGAAAGCCGTATACTGTAAAAGTCAGGAGATTAGCTTTTCTTTGTAAATAGAGCTGGTATTGGAGCTCATGGTCCTTAAAATCCGCAGGGCTCTTCCCACATGTTCTGATGCTTGTGTGTAGTTCCTCACTGGAGAGGACCTTGTATCCAGGGGAGGCCCTTCTGTCACGTTGTTATCTCTTACTAATTTATGGTAATAACCACATAACTTGAGCCCATTATTTGATGAGAGGGTCCTAGCGTCTGTACTGTGTTGAGGTGATCAGTCTGAAGACAGTAGTGCTTCAGTGCTCCAGAGTCTCAGCGTTGCTTCTTGCTCCTTTTTCTCCCCTGCTGATGTTTGTTTTTGGCTAATGTTTTGTTTTTTCTTTTTTGGTTTTTTGAGAAGGTCTCCCTGTAGCCTCAGCTGACCTGGAATTTGCTATGCAGACCAGGCTGTCCTCGAACTCACAGAGATCCACCTCTGCCTCCTGAGTGCTGGGATTAAAGGCATGCACCACCATGCCTGGCCCATATATAATATTTTTACATTTAAAATTTATATATCCTTCTGCACTCTGCCCAATAAAAAGTGTGTCACATAATTAAAGAGGTACAATTCACTAAATTTTAAAAGGATACTTTAATTCTTTATCTATTTCACATTGTTCTTTATCTGTCTGAATGCTTAGATTTCTAAGTGTCTGTTTAGTTCAAAATGTATTCAAAGTATACAGTTAAACCATTAAATTCAACTGCTGGGTAATAGTTGTGTGATAGAACTCTGCCCTCTGCTGCAAATGATGTTGCATACTTTGTAGGGATGATTTCAGTCTTCCCAGTGGTTCTGAAGAAGGCGACTGACTATTCCTAGTTCGTAAGAGAGAAAATTGAGCTTTCCAGGAACTGATCTGACCTTGTTTACACAGGAGCTAAAGCCATTGTGCTTACTACTGCTATAGCTACAGCTGAAGATTTTTTTAAATGGTGGCGCTGGGATGGACAGAGGGCCTCATGCATGCTAGGCAAGCTCTTTACTACTGAGCTGTATACCCAGCCCTGAAATATGTTTTTTAAAAAAATATATATTTTATTTATTTTATTTGTGCGTGTGTACTGCCTGCATGTATATAAGTGCACCTGTGTCACACATTACCCATGGAGGTGAGAAGAGGGTGTTGGATCCCCTGGAACTGGAGTTACAGTTGTTAGCCACCATATGGATGCTGGGAATTGAATCCAGGTCCTCTACAAGAGTAACCAGTGTTCTTAGCTGCTGGGCTAGCTCTCCAGCCCCTGAAATATGTTTTTTTTTTTTTTTTTTTTTTTTTTTTTTTAAAAAAGGGTCCCCTTTTAACCCCCGC